ACATGTAAATCATATGATATCATATAAAATTGGTTACACAAAGTTGATCTACAATCTATTTTATATGAAATTAGAAAATTGTACACCCTACCCTTAAAACATAAAGATTCTCTTTACAAGAATTAATGACAACTCTTAATCAAATGAATAATTTAATGATAAAATTAAATATTTGTAATTAATTTGTATCTTCTTTCTTTCAAAATTTAATTATGATTTTTTGATATTTACATAGTTTAAATATTATTTTAGATACTAATTTCACTTCTTAATACACTTCTTTCAATATTTTACTTGCTTATTACACAATTTTTGATTGATTATATAGAAATGTTAGATTCTTTTAAATTTTTGAAATTTATATATGATATATATAACCAAGTAATATAACATAATGATTAAGCAAATATAAAGCTTGTTTGATTAAAAATAGATTTATATAAAAATTTGTTATATATTATCAAATATATATATATATAATTTTTTTACTTAGGCAAGATCGCGCTAGTGATCGATGTTTAATAAAGCTTCAATCTTGTGGATAACTACAAATATATTGCTATAACATTAAATTTATGATCCTAACATCCCACGGCTGCTCTAACGAGTGTCCATCGGTGACCTGCCACACCAGCGAGATAAAACCTAAGTAATACCCTAACCAGAGGGCTCATCCGATCAACTGCCCTACAATAGGATACCACAAATCTGATGACATCTTCTCGTAGAGAAGTGAAAAGAAAAAGAAAACTATATATAAAAAAAAACACAGAGGTATAGGGGAATATGATAAAAGATACAAACAAGAAGAAAAAGAGGTAAAGGAAAAAATGAAAAAAAGAAAAATATGAGATTTTTTACCCACACTGGATGGTTACAATTATAAGCCTGTGTCGAGCTTTGTAAAAATTACATACTACTATCTAAACTAGTCTCTACTCTAATTTAACTAATTAGTATATTTAAGTGAAAACCTTAAAGGAAAAAAAAGCTCTTCGACATTGGCACTGTACTCTAGCACTGTAAGCCCCTGGCTTCTTTTGTTTAAACTCCCATAGAAGCGTAAACAAAAAGTGCATTTCGGGCACCATAGAGAAGTCGGAAATCTATGTGTTTGTTGTGATAAGAAAAAAAGTAAACAATGCTAACCGATTTGCTAAGTAAACGATATATTGATCTTTTGGAGGAAATAAGCTAAATCATCCACTTTTTTACAAAATTTTCTCCGAAAAAAAAGTGTAGGGTCAACGAGAGTATGTGAGGTTCTTCTTGTAAGTTTTACAGTTGTATAGTCCAGTTTCTAAGTATTTACTCAATATTCTTGCCCAGAGACTTTGCTCTACTTGTTCCTAGAATAAACCTTCTAGTTTGGATGCCGAATGTGCAAGGGAGTCCGTCGAAGAAAGAAAAATTTGACCCAAGGCACAAACCTGCCTAATATTCTTATACGTCCGCTCCTCGGTGTTTCACGTATTGTAGGCTTCGTCGACAACAAGTTTGCTTAGTGCAAAACCAAGAATATTGCTGTGTCCACTATGTTGCTTTCCTATATCGCTGACTGTAGTTCGGTAAATTGTTGTTGACCAAGTGATCGTCAGAAAGAGTTTGGAAATTACAACTCTCTAGAAATCTAAAAACATGTTTTACTATTAAAAATATATATAAAAAAGTGATAAATAAATCCAATCACTATTCTGATCACTAATTTTTTTTAAAAAAAAATTCACATATAAAATTTGATATACATCTATACATAGTTTTGATTTACATAATTGAACGTACTGCACGCACTTATTTGTGCGAGTAATACAAACCCCTAGAAAGAAAATGGCCAATCGGAATGCACAAAATTTGATTGTTCCGGATCAGCTCGACATGAATTCCGAACACGTGCGAAAGAAGAAAAAAGAGAAAATATTCAAAAACTAGTGTTTAAATCGACCTTGGTTCACTAATTAAAATTTTCGGAAATGAAATTTTACATATAATGAGTAACAATCTATTGTTATAGCCTCTAATGTTAATGCTCCAACCCTAAACATCTATCTTTATGCACTTAGTTTATTTACAAAATTCGATTTCCTTTTTTGGTTTGTGTTACTCGCACAAATAAGTAAATCGGAACGGACCCCAACGGGGCTTTACTTATTTGTGCCAGTAATACAAACTCCTAAAAGGAAATAACCAATCAGTGAGTTCGAATTTTGATCATTCCGGATCAGCCCGACATAAATTCCGAACACGTGCGAAAGAAGAAAAAAGAAAAAATACTCAAAAACTAGTGTTTAAATCGACCTAAATTCACTAATTAAAAATGTCGGGAACGAAATTTTACATATAATGAGCAATAGTTTATGGCTATAGCTTTTAACGGTAACTTCCTAACCCTAAATTTGTTTTTTTACGCACTTTGTTTATTTACAAAATTAAATTTCCTTTTTTGGGTTGTATTACTGGCACAAATAAGTAAAGCCCCCCAACGGGACATGCTCCCAGAAATAGCAACTATAATTGCGCCGGGTGTCACCATAATCAGCCGAATTCGTGATGTGTAATGATACGTGCTATGATAATGATAGTCAGTGGTTTCCCGCGCTGCATTAAGCAGGCGAATTTTGAGGATGCCACAAAATGGCAGGATTCTGCCTAGAACTGGGAGGGTTCGGGTGCTAATCTCGCTTCTCAACTATGGCAGAATAATATCATATGGTGCCTGCAGGAGTCGCTCTTTATATTCAACCGAGAATAAGCTACTATCAGTAATCATTTAATAATTCCCAATTGAGCAATTAATTAAATCATAACTATCTAAACGCATGTGCTTCCTCATGCGACGCCAAACATTACTGCGTACTGATTTAAATCCTGCGATCTGATCTCCAAACCTGGCCAGGTTGTTACTGGCATGTACCTGCTCAGCTATCGTCAACCTGAATTATATGTAAATCCCACTAAAAATATATATATTTTTGTATTACATTTAATATCGTACTTGTTCTACGGATAATTTTACCTTTATAATACCGACACATTCAATGTTCTTAAATTTTCGTTTGAATACTTGCCCGACATGTTTAATGTGTAAATACTTATGATAAAATTATCCTTGTCAACCAATAATCCTTAACAAGAAAGATAAAAAGGCACGGATATAAATTTGTAAAATAAAAAAATATATATATATAGTATAGTAAAAAGACTTTCTTATGTGTATATCTAAGTTGATAGTATACCTTTTTAAATTATACGATTAATTTTATATCCCAACTAAAGTTCCATTTCGGATTGTAATTCATACAAATAACAGTCAAGTTTTTCTTTCATTAAAGTTTTAAGATAAATATGGTTCATTAATACCTAAGTGTTTGACAATTTTTCGAACTGTTAAGTCTTCTAAAATTTTTTAACTATTTGCCAACGAAGATACTTTGAAAGGATCATCATTCTGTATTCAATGCGGTGATGGCACATCACGTGATCGAAAAGAAGAAGGGAGCCATCACGGGTGGGTCATGCAAGCAACTAAATTTGCGCGTGAAGATCATAAGACTACTGTTGAAGCAAGAATTTGGGCGTGGGAAGATCAATCTCAAAGGGGAGCAATACATGCTTGGCGCAAAGAATCAAGCACAGAAATCGGTGAAGCGCGGCATAAGTACAAGAGACAAGCTTTCTCGCGTTGGAAAAAATAAAAGGCGAAATTCGCGCCACCCACCCACCCCACCCAAGCAGGAAGACACGTAATTCCATCATTTCTTCACTTGCAGCCAGCTTGCTTCGGCAGGCGGGGAATGACCCCACCGGCTAAACCTACAGCACTGTGACTCCCAATGCAATTTCGATTGCTTCTGTCGCGGGATGTCTCCGCCGTTCTGACCAACTCGGTCAATTGCTCGCTTTCTATCAAATATTCTGCTAACCTTAATTTCAATAATTATCACCTCCAGCATAAATCATCAGCCGGCATAGTCCAAGCATTGGATGTTGTTTGAAAACGAATGCTTTTCGCTAGTTATGCATGTTGTTATGATTAGAATCATGGGCTATGATTTTGGTCTATCAAAGGTATATTATAACCGTTCATGATAAAAGCGTTTAACGTTAATACATACCAAACAAATATAAAAGCCATAGTGAAACTTGTAAAAACCTGTCACGTAATAAAGATCATCCAATCAAATAACTTGGCATTAAACTATGCTTTATGTACTTCATACTCCGTTCCTGATATTTCCGATGGCATTCTTTTTTAGTAATGTTTGAGGTTCTGCACAAAATCACAAGGTATTTTTGTCCAATCAAACGCCACTCTTAAATTTTTTCAAATCACTTAAATTGGAAAGTTTTCAACTAACGATTTGGGCATTAGCTTTAACCCATTTCCACTATATTCGTTCATACATTAAAATCATCTCACGATACTAAGTATATTCAAAACTGCTCACCATAAAGATATATTGATATAATTGCAAATATGACTGAACGAAAGCCAATACTTCTATTGTGTAAGTAATAATTTGCATATATATATATATATATATATAGAGTAAATAATAATAAAAATCACTTTTACTAAAACGCACCTATGGTGTTTTACCACCTATGTTGTATTATCTCAAAAACTGGCTAATTAATCGATGTGAGGTGTTTTAAGTAAAAATGTTCTAAGCCCCAAATAACCCTTCTCAAACCCTAATACTAACCTTATCATTAACTTCAACGTGAAAAAATTGATGTCAAAAATTTTATATACAAAAACTTATAAAAACAGAAAATTTAAAAAAACATAATAAAAACATATAATAGGTGCAAAACCACCATAGGTGCGTTTTATAATAATTGATAAAAAATATCAATAAATGAATAAAAATAAAAATAAAAATCAACTTTAATTATTCACATCTCATGCTTTGATGAATTTTGAATAAGTATGAATTTCATTAAGATGCGGGTTGTGAAAGTTTAGTGCCAATTATTCATTTTTATTTTTATTTTGCATGACTTTTATTAATGATGTTCTATTCTAGTTTTTCTAAAAAAAAGTTTTATATTATTATCATTATTATTAAGCCCACCCCAGATCTGTTTCCCACGGGTTTCAACGACCATTCCTTCAACGCTCTCAAGAATTTCATATTATTTCCGAACCATTACTTGATATTATTCTTGATCAATCTGTAGAAGATGTAAAAAATGGTAATGCAGATCCTTATAAGCCTTCAAATCCTAGTTTACTCATGCCAAAAGTTTTATCTCTCTTTGATGAAGTTTGGAAAACCCATTATGATGAATCCTCGAATAAATCAAAACGAGTACTTTATATTGAACATTCGAGTATTATTCTAAAAGCCACATCTGAGACTTCCTTTTTAACAAGTCCTCAATTTTTGGAGATGACACACACGTTCTTAATCCGTAATCCCGAAAAATCAGTAAAATCTTTATATAAAGCTGCTACCTTCATACTTAATAAAAGTCTCAAACTTCGTAACGCGGGCTTCGATAAAAGCCGAGTAGGATTGAGAGAATCCAAGCAAATTTTTGATTTATTAAAAGACTTAAATAAAAAACTTATTGTTGTGGATGCTGATGATTTGATTAATGATCCAGAAAGGGTTTTGAAGAAATATTGCGAGTTAATTGACGAGGAATATAAACAAGAAATGATTCATTGGGAGGCAACAACTGTTAATGAGTGGAGCGGGGGCATTGTTACCAAACTTATGGTCTAGTAAATATATTTTATTTGAAAATATAAATTTAATTGTCAATTTTGTTTAATTACTAACATAAATAAATCTCCACTAGTAATGCGGAAAATAGTACAGGCTTTAATAAGTTTACTAATAAATATGATCATGAAACTGAATATCCACAAATTGTCTATGATGCTATCGCTGAAAACAAACCGTATTATGATTATTTATATCAATTCAGGATTTAATTAACATATAAAAAAGAAAATATTACATAAATTATTTGGCTAGATGAGATTAAAATTTCTTTTTTATATTGCTCATTTATTTATTATTTATGCTTATAATTTTTTTGATATTTTAATCATGAGAAATTTGATCATATATAAATGTAAAACATGTTTTATTTTTTATCATTTAAATAAAGTAATAGATTAAAATATAAATTTATATCCATTTAGTATATCATTAAACCAGACACTATTAATCATTAGTTTAAATAAATAATTAAAAATAGAAATTAATCGTATCACATCCTTTTCTATATCTTCACATCTCATCATTCCTGTGCCATCAATGTTCGTAAATTCATGATCATTTTTTCCAACTGAAATTCGTTAGATAAATCCAGCTATTTTTATAAATGTAAAAATATATTTGTTAAACAATATCATTGATTAGTCGGATTTGTCGTCAATTCGTTAACTTCTCACTTAATTGCTGTCGATTTCAGATTACTAAGGGTTAGAGACTGAACTCGAATTAGCTCTTAGCTTAAAAAACATAGCCTTAACTCGAATCAACTCTAGTCGAGACTATGTTCTTTAAGCTACGAGTTGACTCGAGTCCAGAGCTAGACAAGTTTTTGTAAAAATCATTAACATCCATCGAATTTAAAGACCCAACTTGTGGGTTTGCAGAAGAGATACAAACATCTTTTTTATTCTAAAAAAAGATAAAATTAAAAATAAAATAAACATAAAAAAAAACAATTAAAATGAATATACCATATCATTTGCTTCCTTTAAAAGTTTTTGGTATTATGTATCAACAACATCAGAGTCAAGTTTCGCCAAAGGATAATTTTCATCAAAAATAAGTTCACCATACATATGTAAGTAGTTCGTTAACATTATTATTACTGACAATTATTTCCCGATTCTCTATTTTACTAGCCCTAAATCTCAAAGCTAACTTTAAGGAAATAATTTTTTATATCATTGACCTATAATAGATCAAATGCCAAATTTAGATCGTTGATTAAAAAGCATTGTAAATGACAGCACAATATGTGTTAAATTAAATTTGTGTTAAGGTTAAAATTTAATACTAAAAATGGGTAAAAGCCTCTGACAGAAGTAGTGATTGTATTCATTCTGACATCCAAACATGGTCATTTGTGGGTTGGTTACCTAGGTAGTAATATTCATGAATACAGTTTTTACTGTTGTTAACTTTTCTGTAGTATAGCTTTCTGAGATACAATTTCCCAGATTTTATAATTCCGATATTTCTTTATTCTAACAAAACACATCTTGGGTTCTGTTAATAAGACCTTATGCTGACCAAAATTGATGCTCTAATACGTATTTAAATCTAAAATTATACTCTAAACTAAATTTTAATAATAATTGTTGTGGATTTCGCGATCATCCGAATTTCATGATCATCCGCGACAATAATTAAAAAGAAGAAATTTTCTTTCCAGTTAAATATAGATATCTTCAAACAAAGACATATAAAATATATATTAATATTCTTTAAAGGATTACCGTTGGCCACTGCCTACAGTACCCGGGGTATTATTCAAGAACTCCATTTTTAAAATTGAATAGTACCCGTGGGTACCGTGTGAAGAACCGGGTACTATATTTGGGGACATATCATATTAAAAGAAGTAAATCAATATGGTTGTACCCCCGGGTCTTATTCAAGTAACAAGCCAGTAAGGGTGGTGAATAATACCCGGGTCTTAATCATGGGGGGTATTATTCTTGGGGGATACTGTAAGCAGTGGCCAACGGTAATATAGATTCCGCAGGGAGGCAGTATTCTTATCAAATTTTATACAACGAACGAATGTAAACAAAACAAAAAAGTAACTAAAATTTAAAAATTCAAAATATTTGCATTATTGTGAAATTTCATGCTGAATAGTTTTGCTTAGAAGCTAAAAGTGGTTGTTTTAATAAAATTATGAGATATCTTCGAAAATCAAAAGAAAAAAAAACAGAAATCGCAAATATATTAAAATATTACTAAGAAAATTTTTCTAATTTCTATTCTAAAAAATGATTTATGAACTAACCAATCATAATCGAGATGCGATATATATGCAGATCACATGATGCGATCTATACTTTTTTTAAAAATATAAAAATAATTAATTTTATTTAATTACTATTAAAAATTATTATAACATTCGCATTCAAACTATAGCAAGCCTTTATACAAAAATAATGGTTTTGTATCTAAACAATAATACAGTTTTTAATTAAAATATACATCACTTAAATTAAGAATTATACAAAACAATGGCTTTGCAGCTAAACAATAGCTTTGCATCTAAACAATAACTTCGCATCTAAACAATGGCTTCATATCAAACCAATGGCTTTATATCTTTGAAATGATAAGTTTTTAACCAAAAATTATTCCAAAATACTAACTTTACAAACAATAACATAGCCTTTAAGGCTTTAGTTTTACCCGAGGCTTTATTCATTGTTAAGGGCTTTAACTTTGATTAGAAATTTTGCTATCTATAAGAAATTAAACTTAGTTTATTTTATTTCACCAATAAAGTAATCCGGTTATTGCCATAGAATTAAAATTAGGATTAGTATAATTTTTGAAAAAGCCTGTTAATAAAATAAGTTATTAGTAAATAATTGTTAGTAAAATAAAGTGGTTGGTAAATTGATAGCATAAATAATGCATAATATTAAATATATATGTAGAAACAAGATTGATAATTATATAACATGGTTTAACTTTCTTTATTTACTTTCTATTCTTGCCTCTTTTACTTGATTTACCATCTTCTACCAGTTTCGCTGCCTTTTATTAGTTTCGCCAGTTTCGCCAGTTTCACCACCTTTCGCCAGTTTCGTCATTTCGGCATTTTAATTTTTTTTTGGAGAAGTCGAAACTAGGTTTCGCCTTTCGTCTGTGGCGAAACCTCTAGGCTTCGCCTAACAACACTAATCAGAGACAAATTTTTATCATTTTTTTTTTTTTTAGCATTAAGTTGATGCATTTTATGATTTATAGTTTAATTTTATTTTTGGCACTATTAAAATAATTACACATGTTTATTCTATATACATAAATAATTTACTGTTATCCTGTTATTCTAAGCCGAGTTATTCTTTAAAACGAGTATTCGAACAAAATTTCTTCTTTCCAATTGAATTAAGATAATGGTATTTGAGAAGTCAAATCCTCCTCTTCCTCGTCCAAACATTGAAATCCCCGAGACAAAAGCCAATTTATTTTCCAAGCTTACATTTTGGTGGCTTAACGATTTAATGAGCTTAGGCTATAAACGTCCTTTGGAAAAAGATGATCTATACGTTTTGAATGACAGAAGATCTGCTAAAAATGTTACAGATAAATTTGAAGCCGAATGGAAAAAAGAAACTCAAAAAATTGCCTTAGGAAAAAAACCATCTTTAATAAAAGCTCTATTTAGAGTTTTGTGGGCTAAATTTTGCTTGGCAGGTGTTGTTAGATTCTGTAGTGATATATTAGGAGTTATTTCACCTTTGATTTTAAAAGTATGTTTCACTTACGCTTGTAATTTTACGTGATTAATTATGCCGCGTCTCGATGAAAAATTAATCCTAATATTCTGATATTTTCGATACTGTAGTTGATATTGAAATTTGTCTCTGACGCATACTTCGCCAATCTTAATAATAGTGTGCAACCACTTGCACATATTGGCTTTATATTAATCATTGTCATGTCCTTAATGGAGGCGGGTGTTTTCTTTTTGCTTAGATTATACATATATTATGTAATGGAAACCGGTTTTCTCTCTCGCACTATTCTCATAACAGTTATTTATCGGAAAGCTTTAGTCTTAAGTGGAAAAGCTAGAAGCTTATTTACTAATGGAAAGATCACTAATCTAATGTCTACTGATACTACACGTATAGACTTTGCATGCGTTTACTTTCATCATATTTGGGCCGCTCCTATTCAAATTTGTATAGCATTAGGCTTATTAATGTTTAATATTGGACCATCTGCATTAGCTGGCTTTGCTTTATTGGTGATATTGGGCCCTATACAAGGAAAGGTTATGTCACTATTGGCACGTACCAGGGCTAAAGTCGCTGATGTTACTGATGAACGTGTAAAATTGACACAAGAAATTTTGGCAGGGATTAGAGTGATTAAATGTTATGCTTGGGAAGAAAGCTTTACAGATGCTCTTAATAAATTAAGAAATAAAGAGATTGGCTTGGTTGGATTTTTGTTGGCTATTAGAGCCGCATTTACCGGTTTTTCAATGGTAATTTTCTTATAATTATTTTATATTCAATTATATTTGATTATGCTTTGGTTTTTGTTTTATATTTTTATCTCTATATCTTTTATTTGTGCTCGGTACTTTTTAGGTCTTTCCAGTATTCGCTAGTATCTTATCATTTATAACATTTTCATTGACAGGAGGCAGACTTGACGTTGAAATCATTTTCTCTTCTTTAGCATTGTTCAACCTTCTCCGACTTCCTTTAATGTTCTTGCCAATAGGTATAACTTCTGTTACTGATGCCTACGTAGCAATTAATCGAATAAATGACTTTTTGCAGGCTGATGAATTATCGGTTTTACTGGAAATCAATCCGGATGAACAATATGCTATTAAAGTTACTGATGGTGAATTTATTTGGGAAAGTGCTCCATCTGAAGAAATTATTGATAATTCAAAAAAAGAAATGAAAAATGAAAAAAGGTCAAAAAATCATAAAAAAGGTGATAAGAAAGGAAATGATTCTTCACCTGTTGTTGTTAATGTAAAGGTTCCAGACACCTCTACAGCTTTGAAATCTGATGATTTGGCTGAAAACTTTGAAAATTCTAATCTACTTTCTCCAACATTTCAACTTCGTAACATTAATGTTTCAATACCTCATGGAAAGTTAATTGCCATTGTTGGTTTAGTAAAGTCTGGTAAATCTTCATTATTGTCAGCTCTGATTGGTGAAATGAAAAGAATTAAAGGAGAGGTCTTGTTTGGTGGAAATGTTGGGTATTGTCCTCAAACTACATGGATTAAAAATGCTACACTAAGAGACAATATTACTTTTGGATTACCTTTTGATGAAGAAAAGTATCAACAAGTAATTAAAGATTGTTGTTTAGAACCAGATTTAGAAGTGTTGCCTGCTGGTGACCTGACTGAAATTGGAGAGAAAGGAATTAATTTATCTGGGGGGTATGTTATTATTTTATTAATTATATATATTAATGAAATATAAATTTTTTTTCCAAAAAATTCTATTTTGATTCTTCAGACAAAAACAACGTGTCAATATCGCAAGAGCTGTGTACTATAATGCTGATATTGTATTATTAGATGATCCATTATCAGCAGTTGACGCAAACGTTGGAATGTACTTATTCACAAACTGTATTCAAGGCGCACTTGCCAAAAAAACACGTTTACTTGTTACGCATCATTTACATTATCTACCACAAGTTGATTATATAATATATATGGAAGATGGTAAAATTGCTGAACAAGGAACTTATGAGGAATTAATGAAAGGTGGGAAAACCTTTTCAAAATTGATTGCTGAGTATGGTGAAGCCAAAAATGCAGATGAAATAAAAAATGACAAAGAATCAACATTGAACAAAAAAGAAAATAAAAAAGTTCAAACATTTGTTTTGCCTAAGGGGTTAATGTCAATAGAAGAACAGTGCATAGGGGCAGTGAATAATAAAATATATTTGGCATATCTTAGGAATGCAGGTGGATTGTTATCGATGCTTATCATTATCTTCTTGCTTGTTATGATGCAAGGAGCAAATATTGGGTATGTTTTTACCTTATTAATATCTTAATAACATTTTAATTTATTTGAATAATCTTATGCATAATTGAGAAAATCGCTAAACTTATTTTTTTAGAAGTAATTTATGGCTTTCATTCTGGTCCAGCAACAAGTTTGACTTTCCAATAGAAATTTATGTACATATCTTTAAAATTTATGAAATTTCAAATTACAGTCAAACCCCTCTATAGTCACACCTTCGTGATACAAAAAACCGTGATTATAAAGAGGTGTGACTAATATAGAGGATTTTCTATATAGTTATAAATAATTGGTAAAAGTAAATTTACAATTATACCAATTTTATGACAATAGAGGAGGTGACTATAGAGAGGGTTGATTGTACAGCATAAATAGACATAATTAATTTATTTTATATTATTAAATGCAAATAAATTTCATTAATAGATAGGTGTTTATTGCGCATTGGGGGCCACTCAAGGAGTTTTTAGTGCATTATGTGGTTTTGCATTCACCTACAGTGGTGTTAAAGCAGCCAAAAGATTGCATAATAATGCAATTAAGAATGTATTAAGAGTGCCAACAAGTTTTTTTGATACCACTCCTTTAGGAAGAATTATTAATCGGTAGTTGTCATGTTTAACATCTTAGGGGAGGGCCAGAAAACATGTGTTTTTTATTTTGACAAAATTACCCCCCTCCCCCCAGGTTTCTTATCTTCTAGATTTTCTATATATAGACGTGTTTTTTGAAAAGACCCCCCTCCCCCCAAAAAAAAACACGCGTTTTTGGCCCTCCCCTTATTTTTAATATTTTTTAATCAAATTCATTAATCATTAGATTTAGTAAAGATGTTGACACATGCGACAGCTTACTTTCTGAATTTTATCGAATGTTTTTTATGACCTTTTCGAGTGTAATTGGAACACTTATTTTAATTATAGTGGTGTTTGTGTGGTTCATTATCCCGTTGGTTCCTTTGACAATACTTTATTATTTAGTAACTCTTTTTTATCGGGTGTCTAATCGCGAGTTAAAGCGTAATTAATCATTTTTATCACTGTCTAATGATAATTATATATAATGATTTTTAATTTTTTTTTTCATTTTTACTTTATTACAGGCCTTGATTCAGTATTAAGATCTTCGCTATATGCTCATTTTTCTGAGACGCTTACGGGACTGCCGATTATTCGCGCTTACCATGAAGAAGAAAGATTTTTAAGGTTTTTAAAAATTTGATGCTTTATTAGTTTAATATAATTTCTTAATAATTTTTTCTTTTCATTTAATTAAATAGAAATAATGAAGCATTCTTAGATATTGAAAATAGAGCATACTTTCTCACCATATGCACCCAATTATGGCTTTCAATGCGTCTTGACGCTATTGCAAATATCGTAGTATTTTTTGCAAGTTTGTTTGCAATAATTTTTAGATTTAACACAGCACCCTCAATTAGTGGATTAGTATTATCTTATGCACTTCAAGTTGGCTCATCTTTAAATTGGTGTGTTCAACAATTTGTCGAAGTAGTGAGTAAATAATAATTGTTAATAATATATTTTAAATTATTAATTTTTTCACTTTCGCATAACAGGAAGCCAATATGAACTCAGTGGAACGTTTAGTTCACTACAGTGACAATTTAGATGTAGAAGCCGAGGATATAATACCAGACAACAGACCACCATCTGGATGGCCAGCTCATGGAGAAATTCACATTAAAGATTTGAAAATTAGATATAGACCTGATAGTTCTCTAGTTTTGAAAGGTATCTCAGTTAATATTAGTGCTGCTGAGAAAATTGGGATTGTTGGTCGGACTGGTAATTCTTAGATCTCAGTTTGAGAATTATTAAGATTTATATATTAACTTCTCTTAAATAATAGGATGCGGAAAATCAACATTGGCAATGTCATTCCTTAGATTTATTGAAGCAACTTCTGGAAGTATTGTAATTGATGATGTTGATATTAGTAATATTGGATTAAAAGATCTTAGAAGTAA